GGGGAGGAGCGATATCCTCCCTTCAGTTTATTTTAAGGTGGCCTCGCGCTTTCTCCTCTTCACACTCATAATATTTAACCGGTAAAATATTTCTATTCGATTATCTTTTTTTGAATTACCGCCCTTTTGTCTTTCTCAGGGACTAACTCTCCATTTTGCCAATTTTCATCTATTTTAAAGTTGCGTTTGGAGGTTTATTAAGACAGATATAAAAAATGTATTCCATATAACTTAGTAGCTCTACTTTGGCAAGGAACGTTAGTCAGGTAAATATAATTAACTAGAATGAAAAGATTTCATTATCAAGTACAAATCCACTTAGCGATTCGTTTATTCTCATTCACGCGTAGATTGGGCGATCTTCATTTTATGAAAAAGATAATAGCAATGGCAACTTGATTTAGTTAAAGTTGAATTTGTCATTTTTTTACTGCAACCGATTAAATGGGAGGAAGTCATATCAAAGTGAAACTGACAGATTACCAGGGGCCATTTTTTCAATATTACGTATATGCATACCAATAGTTCTTGACAAGCCACATTCAACTATTGCCATTTAAGTGGCTTAACTTGTGTCTAGTATTACCTATAATTACGAATTGATGTTTGAAAAAATACTAACACATCATTCTTGAACAGTTATGGCACTGGAAGATGATATTACCGTTTTGATCAGAAACGTGCCTTATGTGGCACGTGATAAGTACTAACAATTGGAGTAATTATTACCCTAAATTACCACTCAATTAAGCACCATTTCTTCTAATACTATTCAGCTGTTCCAAAGTTAAAATAGGGGCCAATGGAGAAGGCATTTAATTGGAGCAAATAGTGTGTACATTTTATTTTACAAAATCATATGTTTAGACGCTGTTCACGATTGTTAAATTGTTAGAATACAGGGAGGAAGGAACAGCCCAGAGGAGTATATCGATTGTTCAGAGGCCTATTCTCAGTGGATATCCACCAGAAACGTATCATCTCCAATTCCACCAGAATTTCTGCTGGCATTGCGCAGACGTTTCATTTGTAACGAGTCCACTGCCACTTCAACTCCATCCACAGTCTCTTAAAAAGGTGGGGAAAAAAAAACAAATTAATGAATTTTGGCCGCGAAAAATTTTATTCATTTCAACTCTCGGAATTTGGCAAAATTTTTTTTAATAGTAAAATATTCTGAGGATAAAATGAAAGGTAGCATTGACAACACCGGTGTTAATGAATATCTTTATTAATCATAAATTTCATATTTTGTTTTCTGGTAGGTTTTACTTGAAATGCAAAGCAATCAATAATCATTTCAACTTGAACTTGTTAAATCCACCAAGATTACTATGGAATGTTGTTAACACATCAGAAGACTTCTGAATCACTAGCTCATAATGACCTTGAGGTGATATATAACCTGAACTACTTACTTAATAAATTGCCTCTTGTTAATTATCTCATCATAAATTTATTTTATAATGCAAATTATGCTAAAAACGGAAAAAATAGACATTATTTCTTTTACAAAAAAACAAAAGTAATATTGAGGGAAATTAGAAATATTTTCTTTATTTAAAGAAACAGAGGGTACGGCATTTATAATTAAAATATATTAGAAGTCGGTAATACCTTTTGAAAGTGAAATCAGAGGTTCAACTATACAATTAGAAAATATCCCATATTCCAGTTAGAAGGGAGGCCTTCATTCCATAAACTTATCCTACATCTGGTGGAATTTCAAATCTTTGTTTATCTAAATTTGGCAAAATTATTCGCACACCGATTGTAAAGAAATTAAATTACACCACTTTACCAAACAGAAATAAGTCAAATCTAAATTGAAAGAGAAAGGTTATATCAGTCCCATTTTAACAAAAATAACGCTAAAAATTTCAAACTACTTCCTCTTTTTCTATTTGGACAAACGCGATGATGCATGACTATATTCGTTTGTTAATCTATTAACCTGCATGTAATTTTAATAAATTCTTCCAATTGTATTATTAGAGCTTTTCATGGGCTACTTCAACTCCTTTTAGGCACTCTTACTGGTCTTGCCTACTTACAAGATCTGAATTCCGCGAACAGAAATTGGCCTTGGAACACTAGGGCTGATCAGGAAATTTTGCTCCTGCCATAGTTAGATACCGCATAATGAGTTACATCCCTCATGTAAAAGTGGACTCATCAAAGCTTTAAAAATTGAAACAAAGCTCAAATCATCCAAACTCGCACTCGCGGCACTCCATGAACCTTTAAGGTTTTCAACAACGAGAAGTTATTTTCCCATTTCAACAAATCTCTACCCTAACACCCAACACGCAACACTCCTTATCCATTTTGCTAGCGTGAATTCCTATTCGTCTGTCTTTGGTAGCTGAAAAGTTAAAATCATCAGCAAAAGCTTCTCAAGTCATACAGAATTATGAAAGTTTTTAAATATAATTACGTTTGTTCATTTCAAATGTCATGCGTGGCCCAATAAACACTGATTTGACATTTGATAACGCTGGCTACTTTTTCAGCTATAAACGGTAATTATAGTCCTCACAAATACCTAATCAAATTCCCAACACAAACCGGTTTTGCATTAAGTGTTAACAAGACTTGTTCTAGAATTCTAGTAGTAAAAGAAATGGACTTCATTGCTTACTTAAAGATATCAAATGAATATTAAGCATCTAAGCGTTTTGAGGAAAGCGATTTTTTTCGTAACAAATTAATATACTGTTTTAATTTGCCCTACCACCATAATTGTGTCCATTTTTGTTGAAATATTTTCCTGCCGTGTGGATGGCTTTTGTTGAGCCTTAAGGCAGGATTCAATCGGTTGCTCACTCGTAATTGCAAATCGTTCTTCTCTCCCATCTATACGTGGAACTTGGTTATGGCTTGAGTTAAATTTTTAGTTACTTATTGTAAGAAAATATGCTTAATGCAGAGTGGTTACTTAAAATCTAATTAAAAATAGTATCTTAATACTTAGACACTAAATTCAAGGCCTCTTGTCTTTAAATCTCTGCAATAAGTCGGAATATTATCTAAGGAACTATGTACACAACAACAGGTAAATAAATAATTAAGTGGTCGGCTTGCTTAATCACCTTCTTAAAAAACAACACAAAATCTAATATCAATATCAAAAGTAAACCGCTTCGGGGGTCATAAAACCTGCAAAATGCTTGAAAATGTGTTTAGGAGTGTTACAAGATCCCACCCACCCACCCCAACCCCCACCCCCCCCCTCACTGTAAGACCTACACTAGCAAACTTTGAGTAAAACAAGAGGGGGGGGGAGAGGAGAATATAATTGATTAGTATATTTTGCTCGATTTATTTTTACTATATTGCAAGCGCAATTGAAACATTTCTCACTTCCACAGATTATACCTTGTCATGCTATCTCTCCTCCCATCTCCGACTTAGAATGCGACCCTACTTCGCAGCCTAACATCAAATCAATATTTAAAACCATCGACAGTAGTGCGTAGTGCAGTTCAAAAGGTCCAGCACCCCCGTGATTACTATCACAAAGTATTTTTTTCCGGTTCTAGTGAAGAAATAATGAAATATGATTGAGCGAAGGGCTAATTTTGACAACCAATTAAAAGCTTGCTGAGTTTACAAGTCTTCAACAATCTTCGATCCACGGCATTACGACGTCGTAAAAAGTATCTTCTTATCCAATAAATGTAATTTAACGCTTATCTCTAAGTAGCTTCTTTTAGGAAAGTGGGGGTTCGTCTCCCCCTTGCAAATTTGGGGAATGTGAGAACTTAAAGAATATTAAAGTTGTCTTATTAGTATTAGGATTGGGCTAGTTAAATAAAGACCTTTGAAAATGGTGCGTAAATTCCCACTTTATTCTCTCCCGATTAATTGAATTCAGAAGCAACAATGACAGCTTATTGAAAAAGGACAACCCTCCCAAGGAATTATCTTCATCATTTTTAGAGAGATCACATGAACTACGCTATGGGAAAGGCCCTTTGCCTATCTCAGTCATCTAATTTCGATAGAATCTCTACCTTTTCATTAGAATGTATATATCAAAGAAACCGGGACTTTTATTGCAACGCTTTTTTGAAAGGCTCCCATGTCGACCCACAAGTGATTAAGTTGTCTCTTTTATCGCCTCTACCCTCCCAAGCATTCAGTTCAGCCAACCGTAAGTAAATTGTGGATACTTATAAACGGAGATGCGGGAAGAGTAAACCAACCTTCAGTACTCTCGGAAGTGTCAAAATTACCGAGAACAGGAGTCATCCGACTGCTGGACTGATCGATTTTGAATCGACATCGTTTTTGTATTTCATCTCTTGGCATTTCCACATTGTCATTGAAAGCTGTCACTTGTGGTGGGGATTCAAGATCGACGATATTTGGAGTGCTCTTAACAAGGGTTGCACATCCACCTCCAGGTGAGTGAGTTTGTTTAGGAGAATGGTGGTAAACTCCTGTATGATATTTCAGTTGACCATAAGGGTAATCAATCTCGTAGAGTTCAGGGTTAAGGGTCATATAACATCTTCCGGGAGTGTCTGCCACATTTTTACTGCTTACGGTGGTAACAGCCGTAGCATTATTTGGAAGAGTTGAGCACATTTGCCTGATATAACGAGGGCTTGAGTTCTCAGGGAGAGTTTTAGATGTGTAGACTATTTGACCTGTTGGGCTGGGATCGGTGCTTTGATTGGCTCTCTGGAAGGTTGTTGTTGATAAGGATGGATGATGGGAGACAATCAGGGCTGGAGAGAATCGACCGAAATTTCCATCGGTTGATTTCAGTGTTGAATCAGCTGCTATAATGTGACCTTTGCAAAACGGAAAATAAATCATTTTGTCATAAACGCACTACATGTAGTTAGTTAAGGTAAACATCTCCGTCGAGAAACATTGGTGGGTTTATTGTTATCTTGTTTAACTAAATAATGAGCCCGTAAGAATACTTGCCCTCTTTCGTATAAGATTTGTATAAGCTTTATAGATTGGAAAAGAATGTTAGATCCAGATCAAAGCTACCTTTAATGGCATCGTTTGGTTTACTTAGGTTTAAACTTAACTCCTTGCTACGGAAGATAGCTTATCAAATGCTCTTAATCCAAAGGCACTATCGTAAGAGAAAAATGGAATATTTTCCCAAATTAAATGAATATAATAAATGATTTCTTCATTTCGAATAAAATTATTTGCACATTTCGCTTAGAGAGTTTAATTAGTTTGGTTTACAAAAGCGTTATAATTACATTGGTACACCAAGGTTCCCTATCAATTAATGAATAATTTGTCACTTCTAAACAAACGAAAAAAGGCTTACTTTATGGCTTATAATAGATCAAACAAAATAATTGTTGTCCAATCTCTGTTTTGGTAATTGGCCAACAATCCTTTGAAAAAGGGTTTTCAGAATACACAAAGAAGAGAATTGCTTAGCAAAATCCTCATTCTCGGACTGCGTTTAATTAGGAAATACGTAAGAAAAAGTGCTATTCTGGCGGGACAACAAGGTAACGAAAGAGATAAAAAAAGTAACTGGTTAGATACCCGTGTTAATATAATGATAGGAAAGCACAGATCGTACTAGAAGTTGCCAATTAGTTATACTCTTTCTTCCCCTAGTAACATTCACCCTATTTCCACAACTACCATTGGTAAATGCACTGGTTTATGTTGAAATATCCTACCGGTTGCAGTCATGTAATGGGATTGTCCGTCGAAAACTCCTGTACTGGACTTTGATGATTCCATCGTAAATCCTGATTTTGCGCTCGAATCCTGTGACGGTGGTGGGATCCAGGCATGCGGTTTTACCTGAGCAACTCGGACTATTCCAACTCCTCCACCAGCCCTCATATCGCTCTGTCCTTCTACTCCATTCTCCCTTGTTGAATGGATCTGTCTGCATCGAAGCATCACAATGGCAATTATGAAAATAATTGATACAAGGAGTATGATAATAATCATTACGACCATCACAAGAAGATCTCGATCGACGAAACTATTTCGCTGTTTGTAATGTCCATTTGTAAGATGTTGATTCTTTCCACCCATTCGACCACTATCATAAGGCGGGCTATCTGCCGGTGATATATCGTCAGTTTGGACAATTATTCGAAGAAGAGAGGTGTTGCTCTTCTGTGGCTCTCCATTATCAGAAGCCTTTAGAGATAACGCAAAAGAAGTGGGAGTGTTTTGTTCATTTGTTCCGTTTCTATCAGGATTTATATCGAATTGTTTTGCTAGATACAAGGTACCCGAGAGACTGTCTAAATCAAAATACTTCTGACTATTTCCGCGGATTATCTCGTATTCAACCTGGCCATTAGTTCCTACATCAGGATCCACGGCTTCCAGTCTTGCAATCACCATTCCGATTGTAGAATGAGCGGAGATATTGATGCTAGCAGCTTGTGGGCCAGGTGGGGGGAATAGCCACTGAGGTCCGTTGTCGTTAATGTCCTCCACGCGAATGACAACGGTTGCAAATGCCGACAAGGACGGCTCTCCACTATCCGTGGCAACAACAGAGAAAGTTAGCATTGGCACCTGTTCCCGATCGATTGGAACTGAATTAGTGTAAATTTCACCGGAAGGGGTGATTGTAAACAATCGACTGGTTCGATATCCTTCAAGCCCGGAGTTGCTCTCATCACTGATGTGATAGCGCACTCTGTTATTCTTTCCATCTGTGTCTCGATCAAAAGCGTGCACTTTTCCAACCTAAAACACATGATGAATTTGTTTAAATACTTGAAACAGATAAGTTTTGAGACACAACTAAGTTAGACCCAATATGAGGTTTTAACTGCCCATTTAGATACCTGCATGCGGTTTTGATTGCTCTAGTTATGTATTTTGGTAGTTTATTTTCAAATGAATTTAATGCTAATTTAATTGAGAAAGTCGAATTATAGAATTGAATCATATATTGATAACAAAAAATTAATTAAAAACAAATTGTATTTTAGTAATAGCATAAATGCTTTACAGGAACTGGCTAAATGTCATCGTAACTGATTAAATCATGGTTAAAAAATAGGAGATTTACTTTACCTAACTGTATTTTTAAAATAGTTTCTAGACAATTCAATACATAATTTTGATCGGAAAGAGCGATGATTAAGTAAACATTTCGCCCCCCAATGACCTTTCAATAATTCCGAAATAGAAAATTAGGCACTAAATTAATATAAATGGTTCATAGATTTAAATATTTAATTTACTTATGAGAATTTGCTTATTTAAGAAATAGGTATAGATTTTACGTCATTTACTCTCAAAAATAAATGGGAGAAAAGTTGGAATGCTGCCATTATAGTCATTACCTTTATTAATGCGCATGTAAGAAAAACTAAACAAGAATCCGATTTATAATTTGATTATAAAATTTGCAAGTATTGAGGAAAAATTTAAATTAACCTCGGCAACAATAGAGAATTACTGGGCGACTGGTTAGAAACTTCAAACTTCTTGACGTCTTAAGTGTCAGTTGAAGTTTGCTTTGAAAAAGAATTGAATTGAATTCTTCATTTGACCTATAAATGGTGACGAAATAACTAATCATTGGAATTAATTGCATAATGTGATTACTTTTAATCGTAGTGTAGAGCATAATTAGAACATTGTATTTGCCTTGCAAATCATATACAGTAAAAGTCGAAGACACCAAATTTTCAATTTTCAACTCCTCCTAACTGTTTCTACCATTCCACTCACTGAAGAAGCTAATCCTACTTTTAATCCTTGGATTAAATTTCACCTCAGCGTGGAAAGAAGCGGCTTACTACCCAAAAAGTTAAATACAATAGTCAAAATGCATTATTAGTTAGAATAATTCTTTGAGTGAATTCAAAATCATGTCTGAATGAGTGAAATCGAAAGTACATATTCATCGTAAGGCAAGAAGACGCGTGTATTATTGACTATGCTTGGGACAAAACGTGGAAGAAATTGCTACCTTAAAATGCTACTACTACTTTTCCACCTTTGTTGGGTAAGACGCTTTCAATGAGTGCTCCTTTAACTTGTAATTTCGCAATCCTCCACGTGGACTTCCCTTTTACAAGGCATTTTTATACGCAATAGTTTGAGGGAGTTAAAGCGATATTTTATCCGAGTAATTAAAAAAACACCTTTACAATGCCAGGAATGTGGATATTTATTGCAACAACTTATTTTTCATCACCTTTCAGTTCATGAATCTTAATCATGTGTGTGCCAATTAAGTTTTGATTTAGAGATGGTATTTGAAGTTTGAAAATAACTTCCTTTCACTGCAAATGTTGATAAGTTGGCGAAATTGCAGGAATTGATTTTGGACTAGGAAATAACATAGAAAGGGAAGTTATTGTTCTTTTTTTGCTATTTCCCCGAGAAATTTCTCACTGTTCTTAATAAAATTCGAAATGATTGTAGATTAGGGTAAGCGTTAACATATTACTTATTATTTTCCATTGTGCATAAATAGCGTTCAATTTTTAATTTATTAACCTGGGTTACAGTTAACATCCTAGTTTTATGAAGAAAACAGCGATAAGTAAACCCAATAATTACGTTATAATATTCGATATCCATAATTATTAAAATCACGGATCATGAAAATTGTTTTGAGCAAATTATATTTGTCGCCAGAGGAGCACGATAGTTTTACCCTCATGTGGTGCACCCTGGGCAACGTATTCTCATACGGCAAAAAGTTTATCAATCGGCAGTTGACTTCTCACTTTTAACTATTATTACCCGACGCTATGTCATATTACACCACTACGCAGTACTCATCTTACCTTTTTTCAATCTTTGTGTCTGTCTCTTTTACATCTTTGAAACACTCTTCTGTTCCCTCCCCCCTCTAGACTTTTTCCCTTCGATGTTCCTCCCTTACTGTGAAGCCTGAAGTCAATTAAAGTGCTAATGATAACTATCAAAACGCCTGCCATTTGATATAAATAAATGTATATTTATCGCCAAATGAAGTATGCAAAGATTTTTTGTACCACTAGTATATAATT